GCCTCACCTGTCCCCACACTCACCCCCTCACCCACCTGAACGACCAGCTGGGCCTCACCTGTCCCCACCCTCACTCCCCCACTCACCCCCTCACCCATCTGACCAGCTGGCTGGGCCTCCCCTATCCCCACACTCGCTCCCTCATCGAGCTCCTCACCCACCTGCTGGACCTCCCCCATCTCCTCTCCCACCAGACGGACCCGCTGGTCCTCACCTGCCCCCTCTTCCTCCCTGGCCTCTCCCCGGTTCTGGTCCCGAGTAGAGGGGTTCTTCTCCGGACAAACCCTCGCCAGGTGTCCCTCTCCACCACATCGGAAACACCTCCCATCATTCGATGTGGCAAACATGACGTAGTCGAACCCGTCGATCCTCACCTTAATGACCAGGCTGAGAGCCTGGGCTTTGGTGAGGACCATGTGGAGCTGTCTCCTATGAGGGACCACATGTCTCAGCAAGGGTGACTTCGGCACGTGCGCTCCGCGGACCACCACGCCGCTCGCCACCACCTTGCGCGCCTTCTCCACGCTGTCTACGAAGAAGACCACCGCGCGGTTCATCCACGCGGCGGACTTCACGCTCCCGTGCCCCACCAACCCCCCCACGGCCAGACCGCAGTCCTCCACGGAGCCGTGAGGTCCGACATGCCGACCGGCTACAAACTCACACAGAAAGAAAAGTCACACATACACACCACCACGCATTCACACTACAACACACACCAGAACCACACCGAAAAACCCCGAAATCACAGATAGAAAAACTCTATCAAACAATTCACCTCTCTTGGACCACCAGAGAGAGAGAGAGAGAGACACCTGAGCTTCACTTCCATCAACAGCTGCTATCAGCACTCAATCTGACGAAGAAAGTGAGGAGGAGGGAGGGAAGAGGGAGGTGTGAGAAGCTGTGACGGACAGGGAAATACAGAGTAAGCGGAGTGAAAGTGACCTGTAAACTCATTTATTCATTATTGACTTGTGGAAGCTGAAGAACAAAAAGGTACGTTAATATATTATGCAATAACAATAAGACATCACCATTAAAAACTGGTTCCAGCTTTACATTTAATAACAAACTATTTTGTCATTATGATGGCTTTATCTCACATTGAATTTTATTTTATTAGATTTAAAATTTTAAAATGATTTCATCTTAAGTTTATATTGATGTTTATAATGATTATGATGATTGAAATATTACCGCACTGTTTTCTGTTAATGTGTTTCTGTAGAGTTGATCTTGTCCGATAGATTATTATTATACTTATTTACTGGTCATGTAGATGGATTGTTTCTTGATCATGTTGATTTTCAGCAAAACTTAATTTTTATTTTGTACTTGTTTTCATCAACCCAACAAGGACTACTGTGATAGTCACAGATTTTCGTTATTTAAGATTATCATCCTAAACATCTTCACTAAAGGAATACTCACAATGCAGCGAGTTACTTGTGTCTGATGCTCTGTTGCGGATTGTCTTAATTAAGTGTTGGGCTCAGTTTAGCAACATGTCTGGTTACTAGCTAGTGGGAAACTAAATCATAGACAATAGAATGAATAATTATTGAAAAGTGAATTCACAAGATAAATAACTGGGAACCCACAGAGCTTATTATTCACGTCTCATAATCGATGTTCACTCATTAAGAGAAAATCATTTTAAGGTTTATACAGGAATGTTTATGCAGTATTGAGAGGAGGGTTGGGGTTCATACACATACAATCACTAGTTAAACAATACACATGAAACACATGCTAAGCTAACTGTGCCAGACACCACCAGAGTTATATGTGTTTCCTCAAGTCACGTTTAACTCTGCATCCGCTCCGTCCTTTCTTTGGGAATCAAACGTCCGTTCAAAGACTCCCTTTTAAAGAAGCTGCTGTTGTCTTCTCTTTGCATTGAGGTTCTTGGGAGCTGCTGGGTTTCTGTAGGGGGGCAACATTTGTTAGTGGGTTGATGAGGTCTAACAGCTGAGAGCTGGAGAGCCAGAAGCCTTTATTTGAAGGAATGTTTGGAGGACAAATCTGTTATCATCTCAGCCCAGAGCACAGGGACCGCTGTGGTGCAATAAGAATATTTGTGGTTGTTTGGTTAAATACGTCAAAGTGTCGTCCCTTCCTATTCTGAATGTTTATCACATTTCATAGTGAGCAGTGGATCTACTCAACATTTATATAAATATATTTTTATATCGGAATATTTTATACATTATATTGTTTGTTATTGTATTATATATCATATATGACATAATTCTGGGCAACAATTCAATTTAGTAATTGAAGGGTTAATTGATTTCATGGCCAAATTGAATGGGAAAAATTCAATAATTAATTTAAAATTTGTGTATTGTGCAATCACTTCCCAAACTAGCCGTTAGGGTCTAACCATGAAATTCAGATAAAAGCAGCAGAAACATGTTTCTAGGATCAAGGAGCATCATAAACAGTCTATACATCTATCAATAATTCATCCATCTATCAATATTCTATTCATCAATAATCCATGTATCAATAATATATTAATCAATGAGCTCTAACCCTCAGAGAAGGGACTCTTTAGTCTGTGAACTCCAGTTTTTTTCTGGAATTCCTTTGGAGAATCTCAGTCAAAAAAAAAGAAAAACACATCTTCAGTGCTGCAGGGTCCTGTCGTCTTAGCAGATGTTTATCTGATAGGGCCTCAATGTTTACCCCCAACACTCTTCCATGATGCAACCGGAGAGGAACCTTTCCACTGAGTCAGCGGTTTTAACCCTGACCAGTCAAACGTTCCAACGGAACGGATTAACTGACTTTGAAAAACAAACCTGTTTCTCTATGTATTCCTCTTCAATATCACATTTAAATGCAAACAAGCTTTACTCTGAGTGCTTGCTGGGCAGCGAGGGGGCCAGCAGACAAAGACACAATGATGTTATCAGAAACACGCTTACAGACGAGAGTCCACAGTGGTTGAGCTCAGATTCCAACCAGCACAGGAACTCCGCATTCCAGCTGATTGACATGATTCCATCTGTTAGAGTTGGATGCAGCTTTTAGATCATTGTATTTGTTTGAGGTGATTCCATCTGCTTGAGATGAATGCAGGTGTTTGAGGTGATTACCTATGCCTCTCATTTACTTACTTCATTTGTCTGTGACAGGGAGTCTGCTTGTTGTGTCATGTAGCTTTTAGGTAATCACGTGGGATTTATCATATCACAAATATGGCTTGGGGCTCCTATTAGGACAGCACAACCTTCAGGAAGGAATTAACAAAACATTTAATTGGCAAATAGGAATGAACAACCCCTCTACGGGTTAGGGTCTCACTCTACAAAGTCGTCCAGTGTTTGCGATTGTACTTGTGCCGGTTCTAGTCCTCAGGTCACATGTTTGACAACCCTGCATAGTGACCTGATTTATAAACTGACTTGTAAACACAAACATTTCTAAAGTTATAGTTTGATGTTTATTGCATTTAAACGACAGAAGGACCAACATGAAATGCAGAATGTGATTATTAAGCCGTGTGTGTCTCTGTAGGACCGGACTGTGTTCGCGATGCCTTTCTTGGAAGGGGATGATGATCGAGCAGAGAAGGACAGCAACAGGAAGGTAAAAACAAAGTCTTAAATTAATCAGAACATGAAAGCAAAATAGGCAGAACAGCAGCAAGTCAACTTCTAAATTAAAAACAAGGATTAAATACATATCACGTTTTTGACTACTTACCATCTCTATATACCACCATACAAACGTATGCATTCATTCGTTCCCGGTGAGGGTATAAAGATTCAGCAATTATAAAACCTAGATATAAATGCTGTGCCCTGCATGAATATTCACCCCTCTTGGATTTTTCTACATTTTGTCATGTTATGACCACAGATTCAAATGTATTTAATTTGGATTTTATGTAATGGCCCAATACTAAATAGTCCATCTGGAAGAGGTGATGGAGAGTTGAGAGGACAGCAGGAAGAGTTGCTGGTTGCACCCGGTGGAATTCTGCCTTTGAGAAGAACAAATGTGTGTGTTTTTTTGTTTAAAAGAAGAAAAAAAAACAATGGGGTCTTTAGAAGGAAAACACATTTTAAATCGCAATTAATCCAGATTAATTCATTTCTAAATGTGAGATTAATTATGTATATTTTTTTAATCTATTGACAGCCATAATAAGACATCTGTTGAGTGAAGGCCTTACTTCAGAAAGTCAAGTAAAGAGCATTACTGAACAAAGAGCATCGTGAAGACCAAAGAGCTTCCCAACAGCTCAGGGATGAAGTTGTAGCTAAGTATGAAGCAGGGTTAGCGTATAAGCAAATATCCCAAGCTTTGAACATTTCACAGGGAAACATAAAATCCATCATCACAAGATGGAAAGAATATGGCACAACCGCAAACCAAGAGAAGGCCCTCCACCCAAAGTGAGCAGCCGGACAAGGAGAAAATAAATTGGAGAAGCAACCAATAGACCGATAGTAACTGGAACGGAGTCTGTCCACAGGACAACTATTACTGTGTACTCCACTAATCTGTCCTTTATGGATGAAAGGAAAAGAAAGCCGCCGTTGAGAGAAAACCAGCAAAACTTATTTCCTTAAGTAAAAATAAAAAGAATTCGGTGAAGATCCACCCTCAGGCTCCACCAGCATGTAGCCTATTGCCCCGTGCATCGCCACTGCTGCTTTGGGATGGCATCCCATCTGGATCTATGTTGGGTTTCTTTAGAAAATGTTTGGTTACAGCTTCTTGCATACAGCCATCACACTGTAATGTGTCCTCCTGGCCTGCAGCTAGAGGCTCCTTTCCTCTCCACCAGCCCCCCTCTGAGCTTTTTCCAAAGGGCTCCGTTCAGGCGACCCTCCAGCCCCTGCTCCACTCGGGCCAGAACCTCTAGCTTCAACGTGAATCCTGGCCACCCTAAAACCGTCTTCCTCAACCAGATCGGACCTCCCCAGCTAGAGTCACCACCCAAAACTCCACGCAGGTACACACACACCTTAGACACCTGGCTACAGTCTGCAGCAAAAGCAGTAGAAGAAGATCATAACTGTGTGTGTGTGTGTGTGTGTGTGTGTCAGGCTTAGCTTCAGTGGGATCTTCAGGTCGACCTCCAGGGATTCAAAACCGCAACCCGTCAGCATCAAACTGTTCACCTGCAATAAGCAAGACAAGGCCCGAGGTGCGTGTGCTTAGACTATTAAAAACAACAATTCATATTAGCTGTTGTTTTACCCAAATTGCATACACACATGCACATACAACCCAATGCTGACATACACACAGAGATTATCCGGGTTAGTATTAGTCTGTATTTGTGTTGGTATTAGTCTGTAGTAGTATTTTTATCAGAGTACCATCACCCCCATACCCCCCAGACCCTCCCCTCTCCTCCCCTCCCCCCCCGTGTGTCCCTCCCCATCAGAATTTGAGCGCTTTCCCTTTGGAGATGTACCAGGAGGAGCCAAGGCGGCTGGAGACCAGGTTGCGCTCCTTCTCCTCTCCTCCCAACACAAAACAGTGCTCTTGTTCCTCCTGCTTACAGCTTCCTGCTGTGGCTCCGCCTCTTCCCGTCAGAAGGCTGGTGAGTGCAGCATCTGCTGGATTAATCCAATAATAAATTACTGGATTAATTCTTTCATTAATTAGTGAATTAACAGAAAACTAATGTGAATCTTTATGACGTGTGAAGTCCTTTCTCATCAATAACATTTTATCTGATGTAATAATTACGTTAATTAAAAATAATTAATTTTAAAAAACATATAACAATATAAAATCATATTTTATAAAATATTTTTAACCTTTAAAGTTGTTTTTAATAACTATATTCTCCTTTGGCGTAAATCTTTAATAACTGCTGATAGCTGGTAATTATATATTTCTCGTATAACAAGCTGGGATTCATGAATTTCTTGTGAGATCGAGATGCAATAAAGGAAAAAAAATAATTTACCAAACTTTGTTTAGTAATTACCAATCCAATGGTCATCATTGTAACTAAATGTCCTCTATGTCTTTGTTACAACGAGACTTTACAAAAATATGCTAATAATTTATTGAGATGTAATTTTATTCCAGTAAGATGTTTGGTTTAATCATCATGTGTTCTTCATTTTAAATCAGATTAAAACATTTTTGTTGTCAAGTACTTTTGGTATAACTATAAAATATAACTCATTTCACGCTGATTTAGAAAACAATATCAGAATCAGAAACATTTGAAATATTGTACTTCTCAGATTTGTATAAATACTTTTCCTCATTACAGATTATTTCCACATCGTGGTTTGAATAGCTTTAGTTGTACCAGATCAAACATCGTTGTATAAATACTTTTATTTCTATCAGATTATTTCTACATTGTGGTAGAAATACTTTTACTACATAATTTCCACATTGCGGTAGAAATACTTTAAATGCATCAGATTATTTTGTGGTTGTGGTATGGTAATACTTTACTTCTACCAAATTATTCATGTATTCTGGTTACAATAATGTTACTTGTACAAGTTTATTGGCACATTGTATTATAAACACTTTCACGTGGTAAAAACCCCAAAGCGGAATCCTGTATCCGTTTGTGAAAAACAATGCGTCGTCTCAGGTATGCTTTTGTTGTGAAACATCCACCCGGAAGTGCAGCGTGTCGTCCGCTCTGTTAGCTTGTTACCGGTGGAACACCTGCAACAACCGATGGGCGGACAGCGACGATCTTTACCGACGGAAGACGATCGCTTACCAGTAGCTCAGGTCCTTCTAACCGGGACAAAGACACAACATTGAGCCGTGAGGATTTTATCTGAAGACCCAGAGACCAAAATCTTCTCAAAAGGACCTCGTTTAATGAGCGGAGACTGTTAAGTAGGTGCTAGCTAACCTCCGTCATGTAGCCTCCATGGCCCAGCAACAAATCATAAATCGCTGTTAATCCGTCAGATTTGTATTCAAGACGCTGTGACGTCATGATGATGGTGATCACTCGTACATCTAATGATAGGCTCCTGTGATCGATATCATGGAGAACTGATAACCCGATAACCCAAAAAAAGGGTAATTTAATAGATTTATATATGTATGTATGTGTAATCATTTGAATAATGTAATTTATTAAATATACATAATTTTAAATATACATACGTATATATATATATATATATATATATATATATATATACACGTATGTATATTTTACTTCTACATTTCAGGGCGGTTGGTGCAACAATAACAGCTCAAATCATTTGTTACCCTTTTTATTGATATTTGTGCAGAAATATTAAGTTAGGACATTAGGGTCTTTATTTCTCTCCAGCTGTCACAATCTGTTCTTTTGTACTCGTAATTATATTAAAGCACCTGAAGAATCCTCAAAAGTTGCATTATAGTAAATAGTCCAAACAGAGGAACAAAACTTATTTTAAAGCGTTTCCTTCAGTGAGAACAGATGTAGTTTTGTAGAGTTCTGTTTATTTGTCCTGTAGAGTTTTGCGCCGTATAGATTTATTTATTTGTCCTGTTGAAAGCGGAACAAAGATAATGCTATTATAACTTTATTAACTTCAACATCAACCGGTTATACTCATGCTCTGTCATCCAGACGCAGTTCCTGTAGAAGTGGTGAAATTCACCGAGCTGTCTGCGCTTACGAATTTTAACCCCGACAACGGAATAGTCCTAACCCTCTAACTAACCCCACTCTACAGTGCGTCACTTACATTATGAGCGTCATGTGACACATTTAAAACAGATCATGTGAAGTATGTCCCTTAACTAAGCACAACATTTATGATGTAAAGATGCGTTTTGTGTTTCTTGTTGTTGTTGGCAGGTTGGAGGCAGCATGTCCGAGCAGCTCGATCCCGAGGATCCCGGTGAGGCCGTCATATTTTTAACTTTGATCATAATTATGTATTTTATGATGATATTTTAGGATTCAATCGGATGATTGATTATTGTCTCATCTCATGACCAGTTTCTGTTCATGTCATGAAAACAAAACACGTACGGCTTTATTGATTAGTGAACATATCCTATTGATTGGGAAACAAATCTAAACAACGAGTGACCATATCATTTCAGGTTGGTTAAAGTATCTCATTGATTAGTGAAGATCTCTTTATTGATCATCCATCTCATGTTGTTCTGTAAAGAAGGAAATGGGAGGAGCCAAGCTGCATCTACAAGTCTTTACAGCGTGATGGAAGGTCGTATCTACCTTCCATCACGCTGGTCCCTGTTCCCTGTTTCCTGCGCAGCTTCAGAGGAGTCAGAGAGAGACATCTACATGCGCTTCATGAAGTGTCACAAATGTTACGACCTGATCCCCACCAGCTCTAAACTGGTGGTGTTTGACACCACGCTGCAGGTGAGACAGAGAGTGAGACTCCATATTTGAGTTTTGGGATATCTATATATATATATATATATAAAACTTATTTTTGTGTTTATTGTTTCAGGTGAAAAAAGCGTTTTTTGCTCTGGTGGCAAATGGAGTGAGAGCTGCTCCGCTGTGGGAGAGTAAGAAGCAGAGCTTTGTGGGTAAGAGAGTGTGTGCTACTGCTTGATTGAGATGGGCTCTTAAGATATTTGTGATTATTAGAAATGGGTCTGGGCATGTTAACACATTAATTAATTAATAAATCCAGAACGAACACACTTCACTGACTAAAAAGTGAGTCATTAGTGGTGGACCACCTTACTCTAACAGGGTGACCTGCTATTGAACATAGGTTATCGATCCACAGAGACTAATTATCTATGGATGGGTTACTGATTCATGGATAGTATATTGACAGATGCTCCCGGATCAAAGAAACGTGTTTCTGCTGGTACCTGTTCATAAAACAAAAACAAAACAGATTTATACATTTTAACTTGTTATAATGTTATGAATACTATGAATCCAGATCAAACATTAATGCCGTGGCAAATATCCTTGGTTTTGTATTTAATTTGATTACATTCACTTTCATTTTTTACATTTTAAATTAAATTAAATTCAGGTTGACATTTACAATAAATATTCAAACTGCTAATTTATGAAGGGAATACTGCACCATATTTGTTTAAAGTGTTTGCACGGATAAAAGTATGGAATGCACTTTTAAAAACTCATTATTCAATTTTGGGCAGTGCCAAGCGATTGGAAATTTTAATTGTGGCCCTGGTGCGAATTAGTCCATAAAATGTCTTTTTCTGTTTCAGGGATGTTGACCATCACAGACTTTATTAACATCCTGACCAGATACTATAAATCCCCCATGGTAACACACACACACACACACACACACACACACACACACACACACACATTGTAGTCCAGGTAACATTCTTTTAAAGGTGTGGATAGTGCAAGGCTAGCTTTATGCTAAGTTATGCTAAGCAGCTGTAGCTGTATATTCAATGTTTGCACTTGCAAAATGAGAAAGAGAAGAAAGTTAGAAGTGTGTTTGTCGGCTCTGTGTCCTCAGGTTCAGATCTACGAGCTGGAGGAACATAAGATAGAGACGTGGAGAGGTAAACCTAGTCCCTCATATCTCCTCATGTGTCAGTGATGCCATCAGTGACCACTCCATCATGACCTGTTTCATATCAACCCATCTTAACAGAGCTTTACCTCCAGGAGACCTTTAAACCTCTGGTCCACATCTCACCCGGTGCCAGGTGAGTGTGTGAGTGTCTTTATGCAGAGTAGAATTCAGACACTACTGAATAATAAATACCCACTTGGATAGATCGATATTGTCCTGACTTAAAATGGGAGATGGGGACCTGCCCGAAGCCCTGTGTTTCTAAAGCCGTCCCCCCCCCCCCCCCCCTCCCTTACAAGTATCTTCGAGGCCGTCCACTCCCTGATAAAGAATAAGATCCACCGGCTGCCTGTCATTGATCCGGTCAGTGGGAACGCTCTCTACATCCTGACTCACAAGAGGATCCTCAAGTTCCTACAGCTCTTTGTGAGTCCACATGTTACACATAATAATAATACAATGTTATGACAGAAGATCTGAAAACATGTTAATTCTCACGTACATTCACATAAAGGTCTAATAAATGTGGAAGTAAAATGTTCTGTACTAAGCATTTGGCATTTGGTAATATACTAAATTGCTAAACCCTAATATTAATCAATATTTCTGAATAATTCTAACCCTGAAGTAGTACATTTATTGGACAGCTTCAGAAATGACTAAGTGTTACTGTCACACCTAATGAACAGAGTTCAAACATCTATCAGGAAGGAGAATTTACTTGGCGTGTGTTTAGGTGTGTGAGATGCCCATGCCGGCCTTCATGAAGCAGACACTGGAGGATCTCTCAGTGGGGACGTATGATAATATCGCCTTCATCCATCCTCACACGCCGCTCATCACCGCGCTGTCCGTCTTTACGCTCCGCCGCGTCTCCGCTCTGCCTGTCGTCGACCACCACGGTAACTGTCGGCTACAGCACAGTTTAGTACGATGTCATGTCCGCTCTGTGATCGTGTCTTGTGTTTGCAGGTAGAGTCGTGGACATCTACTCAAAGTTTGACGTCATTGTGAGTAAACTTAGCCACTTTGTATTCCTGATTAGAGCAAACTCATAACCTGAGGGTGGTCCCGTTCTACAAAGCCTGGATTCTACAGAACCGGACCAACCTCAGGTTAGGGTTGAGCGTCTAAAGAAGGAACCCTGATCCTATGCTCTGGATCTACAGAACCTGGCGGCAGAGAAGACCTACAACAACCTGGACTTGACGGTGACCCAAGCGCTCCGACATAGGTCCCAGTACTTTGAAGGAGTCATGAAGTGCAACAAGCTGGAGACACTGGATACCATCGTGGACCGGATCGTGAAGGCCGAGGTAAGCAACAATCATCCTCACCCGATACTTTATTAAGAACTCTTTCATCTGAAAATAGTTTACATCATTAATTGAAAATAATATGTTGAGTGAAACTTGTGTGTGCACGTGTACAGGTTCACAGGCTGGTGGTCGTTGATGAGGACTCTCGTATTGTCGGCATCGTCTCTCTCTCTGACATCCTGCAGGCTTTAGTTCTGACTCCTGCAGGTGAAAACTGAAGCTCTACTATTACGCTTATTGTTGTTGATATGTGGGTTTGAATACTTTATTAAAAAAAAAAAACTTTCATGGAGCTGTTGAGTAACAAATCCGAGGTCAGGATGATAACCAAATAATAATGATTGAATCTACAGCTCCTTCATATCTGACGAGCTCTTAAAGAGCATGAGGACACTGAACTCTGTCTTTCTTTCTATCTGTCTCTATATGTGTGTCCATCTCTCTCTCTCTGCCTGTCTGTCTGTCTGCAGGTCTGAGGAGGAAGGAGTCGCTCCCCTCCCAGCTGACCGCTTTGCATCCGACAGAGACAGGATGTGTACCCGGATCATTTCAAGACCAGGCAGCGAGGCAGGCAGAGGGACAGACAGAACGGGGGACAGCGGAAATGGCAGAGGGACAAACCGATGGGGAAGAAGAGAGACATTCAGAGAGACAGGCACAGGGACAGTTGGAGGGGGAGGAACAGACTGAGGGGATACAGTGGGACAGGCAGGGAGACAGTCAAAGGTCCCAACACAGAGACCAACAGAGGGCGAGATGGAGGAAGAGACTGAGGGGGAGGAAGAGAGACAGACTGAGGGACAGACGGAGGGGGATGCGGAGGGACAGTCAGAGGGGGAGAAAGAGAGACCGGGGGAGGGGGATGCAGAAAGGCAGGCAGACGGACACACAGAAAGACAGTCTGAGGGACCGCCAAAGGGACAGTTAGAGGGGGCGGCAGAGATTAAGACTGAGGGGAAGGCAGGGAGACCGACTGAGGGGGAGACGGAGCGGGAGGCAGAGAGACAGAATGAGGTAGACAAGGAGACAGAGAGACAGACAGAAGAGGAGGTGGAGATTCAGACCGCAGAGGAGGGGGAGACAGGGAGACAAAGAGAAAGTGAGGCAGCAGAGATGCATGTAGGAGAAGAAGGAGGGGACTGTTAAAGAAGAAGTGGAAGAGATGGAGAAAAGTGGAGGAGCAGAAAAAGAGACAGTAGATAATGCCGAGGTGGCAGCGTCTTGACACCATCATTGCTCTACAGAAAAGGAAGAGGGACCGGAAGGGCCGGGCCCAAGGAACAACGTTGAGGGAGTGCTGCAGTGCTGTGATTGTACAGCTGCTCTGGGGGTTGGGATGGACCGGGTAGGTGACATGTGCTTGAGCCAATGATGGATCTTTAACAGTTTCAACTTTTCTCCCAGAAAAATAAAACATTTTTGTTGTGACGGATATATTAATAGACAGCTATCCTCAGTCTGCCTCCTACGCTGCCCACAATGCACCTTGGTACGGCCTTTTATTGCTAATGAACATCTGCTGTTATCATAGGCACCACCAGATGCCGCCAAATTGTCTGGCTCTAAAGTCAAAAACACTAACTGATGGAAAAATGTATCAATACAACCGGTAGAAGGGTTACTGAACAAAGAGTTTAAGAATCAAACATGATTTATTTCAGGAATAGTTTTTATTTGCCGAACACGCCAATACCTTTTGTGGTACCACAAAAGTGCGTGTCTGTCAGGTCTTCAAGGTGCCTTTCATTTCAGCAGCTTGTGATTCAGCAAGAGAGGTTGAAATCAATTAATACCAATTAGTTTTCATTGAAGATATTATTCAAACACGGCATACTATGAGCTGTACATGACATTGTTATTATAATGTAAAAAAATGTTGCAATCACTGCATATGTAAAGCTTGTGTAGAGACTGTTTCATAGAGAAATGGAACAAAATGTAAGTTTTGTTATTTTGGTGTTACAATTTTAATGGTTCTGTACAAATATTCAATGTGTTTAGTTGTGTTCCCATTTTTGTATTTACTGTGTGTGTTTGGGGGATGGGGTGCACACAGGACAGTTTGCATCAACAATGGTCTTTTTCTTTTACCGTTTCATCCAAACATTAATGTCTGCCAAATTGGGGCCGGGTTCTGGAGGCCAAAGGTTTAGCAAATAGTTCCTGCGCGAACCCTTTAATCTGAGCTAAAAAACAAATGTGGCCAGCTGTTTCCAAACTGTCCTGTATGAACCTCAAATCATGTATTTTTTTTCAGTTGATAGAAAGTGTTTTATAAATATAATGTATTAAAACAGTAAAATATGTTTTGTTTCTTTGTAAAATGTCACTTTTTTGTTCACTTCTGACTCGCACACACTATGAGAGGGCCCACCATTTCTGAGCGTCAAAGCAGATCGATGATCAGAGTTAGGGGTTCAGGGTAAGGTAAGTGGGTATTGACTATATATAGAAGGTTAGGGATGAGACCAACCGAGGGTTATGGCACAACCCACTGTAAAATTATTCTGTTGAAAACCACATTTTTATCGGTTTGGTTTGGCCGGGGGCGCGAGGGCCACTGGCAAGGGGGGGGGGGCTATGTTTTATAACAGTTCATAGAGTAAAAAATATCAAATGAATAAAACGTCTATACAAAATGTAAGAAAAATTATTTAAATGAAAAGGTGATATGACAATAATACCAAACAAATTATTCATGCTTATGTTTAGTGATAAAAACTATTTATTTGCCTCATTTTGTGAAATAGGGCGGCACGGTGGCGTGGTGGTTAGCACTGTCGCCTCACAGCAAGAAGGTCCTGGGTTCGATTCCGCCCAGTGGCCTTTCTGTGTGGAGTCTGCATGTTCTCCCTGTGTCTGCGTGGGTTCTCTCCGGGTTCTCCGGCTTCCTCCCACAGTCCAAAGACATGCTCTGGGGATTAGGTTAATTGGTGACTTTAAAATTGCCCGTAGTTGTGTGAATGTGAGTGTGAATGGTTGTATGTTTCTGTGTTGCCCTGCGATTGGCTGGCGACCAATCCAGGATGTACCCTGTCTATCGCCCGAAGTTGGCTGGGATGGACTCCAGCCCCCCCGCGACCCTGTGTGCAGGATAAGCGGTTTGACAATGGATGGATGGATGGATGGATTTTGTGAAATATTTGTTTTAAGCCAGTGATGTGTTAAACCTCTAGTAACATTAATAGCTTCAATATACTTTTACCGGCAAATAGCTACGGTACTTAATATGTCAATCCTGAGGTGTTTTGTTCAGTGTTT